TGAACCAGGCGCCGTTGCTCTGGTCGGGTCGTTTGCCCCCATTTATTAAAGCGTCAAGCCACCAGCCAAGAGATAAGCACGACAAACAACTTTAGTCGACCTTGGGTCAACCTTGGTCGCATGGCTCCCACGCCGGCAATGAGGGCGAGGGCTGACTAGTCGGGGAGCTAGTCGGGGGGCCAGTCGAATGACAAGCCCATCCATTCGCAAACGAGCTTGTCCTTTGTCTATTGTATCACACGATACATGCCAGGTCGCGCCAGTTCGCACCGGTTGGCCCCGTTCCGCCATGTATTGCGAGATAGGACAGGGACAAAGACAGCCTCGCGGCACTGGCGTCAAACAACATGACAATAACTACAGCAAACCGTATGCAAAGAAGAGACGCACGCACACGCACCCATCGCCGATGACACAGACGACACAGACCAGTATGATGCCTCGATCTGACGTTATTGTACCGAGTACGGAGTACAGAGCACCAAATACTCCGTTCCAACAACCGTCCAACTTTGAGACTCGGATCAAAGAACACCCCCGGCTCCCTGGTCTCCGTCTCCACGCCCACGGAAGATTCGATATTGTACTGAGATCTGCCGAGTAATGGCCAAAGAGATAGAGCTGGAAGCGATTGACGCGCGCCCTGTTTGTCGAAAATTGATTTCGAGGCGCTGTTCTCACGTCACAAATTGGTTGCCCACATTTGTCCTGGGTACAATTACAAGGATCATCATGGACCGCCCCCATCAGAGAAAAAGCCATCAGCTAGACCCTTGCCTTGCCGTCTTGTCTCGTTCTCTCGAGTCCTGGTCCAACATGCTCGCAGCCTTCGCGCAGATGACTACTTAAGTACTTGGTTGTACTTGGTAGGCCGTGCCGAGCACAGCAAGTGACAGGAGAGCTGCCCATTCGCCCTGCTGGAGCTGCTTCTGCAAGCCGTTGCATGTTCTCCGTATGTACGTCCCTCTCTCCCCACTTAACTCTCTTCGTCCTCTGCGACCGAGACGTTGGCACTGTTGGCGGCACACTGGCACCCTGCGACGTTGGCACATTCGGGACCCTGCGATTCCCCACTGCCCACTCACCCGCTCTGCTCCTTTCTTTTAGCCCTCTCCGTCTTCTTTTTTCCCTTTCCCCCTTCCAGTCCGAACATGATCACGTCTATTATTAGAAGCCTCCAACGCCAGATCCAGCCCCATCCTGCACCTTCGCCTGTCTTGTTGCTAAAAAATCTCCAAGTAGTCAACTGCGCCAGGTACCGGCTATTTGATCTGTTTGCAGGGTCCCGTCCAACTGTCGTTGGACTTGCCTGCGTGTTGGAGCCGTTGCGACTACCTGCATTTTTGACTTTGTGCGGCTGTCGTCTCGACACTCACCACCTCTCTAGCCGCTACGACATATCATCACCGACCTTGCCACTACGAGCTTCCACCGGCCCCGTCCTAGCCTGGTTGATCCTTCTCGTCCTGCTGCTTCATTGATACGCCTGCCGACTCTGAGCCTTTTCTCCCCGCATCGTCGTCAAGCTTCGCCCTGTTGCGTCACTCCTAGCCCTGTTTCTCCAGGTTCCCTTCCCTAGGGTTTGTTTAAGCGTAATCAGAACTGGGCGCCCTTCTTCTATCATTTGTCTCATATTCGCCACTTTTTTTTCCCCTTCACGTCAAACCGCTGCGAGTATTGACTTATCCCACTGTCGTGACTCGCGAATCGGACGAACAACTCGCAGCATCGCCGTCTACGCCAGCCATCCCTCGAGTCGTGCGCACGCGTCCGTAAGCTGCCGACGCCGGGCAGATCGTGTATCCCGACCTAGGCGCAGACAGACCGCATATACCAAACTTTGCCCTGGAAGTGTCGTCGACTTTCTCGTGGCGGTAATCACCTCGACCGCAGCCTCCTGCAAGCTGCAGCCACGGGCGCGCGGGCGCAATTCTCTTCATCACCTACCCCAGTCCCGGATTGCGTCTTGAACGCTGCATTTTGTTACAGTCGTGCTTCGGTGCGCATTACGTCACCATGGGTCGCAGAAAGATTGAGATTAAAGCCATCAAAGACGACCGGAACCGATCAGTGTACGTGGAAGCATCTGTCACGCGCGCTGCAAACTCAAGAACTAACCATACCTGTTTTTCAGGACCTTTTTAAAGCGAAAAGGCGGCTTATTCAAGAAGGCGCACGAGTTATCCGTATTATGCTCCGTTGACGTTGCCGTTTTCATCTTCGGAAACAATAAAAAGTTGTACGAATACTCATCGTCGGATATGCATCAACTCATTGCCAAATACCAATTTGTAAGTCGAGTTATGACCTGGTATTCCACATGACTACCATGATTATCTTCCAAAACGTTAGAGTCACGCGGGACTAACCCATTGCCTCTAGCATGGCGTTCCCAACGAGCATAAGGGACCTTCAGATTTTAATGGGGGCGACGACGACGACGACGATGACGGTGATGGCACTCCTCCGCGAGGACACGAAGGCTCTGAGCACCAAAAGATGCCTCCTCAGTTCCACGGCCACGGCCACAGCCAACCTCCATTCGCTCATATTCGCCATCATACTCCCTCCGCATCACCGCCGGTGCCGAATGGCGGGCCGTTTCAGGCACACCCGGGCCATCCAGGGCCTAGAGGTACCACTCCACAGCCGCCGATGGGATCACGTCCTGGTTCTAGGAATGATATGCGACGAATGGCATCTAACAGTATGGCGCCCCAACCTCATGGTGCACATCCTGGAATTACATATATGCCCACACCTCCAATTTACCAAGGATCAAATCAGCCTGGTATGATGGGACCGCAGCCAGCCGGACAATACCCATATGCACCTCAACACCAACATCACCCCAACCATCACCATCACCACCAACAACCACCACCACCACCACCGCAACCACAACCGCAACAACAACAACAGCAGCAGCATCAGCAGCATCATCAGCAGCACCAGTCTTATGTGGACGATAGGCGACCCTCAGCTCCGCCAGCATATGCCCCGCAACCGCCACCCCATGCTATTCCCGTCGTATCCCGACCTGAGCCATCACCGCCTCATACTAGCAGCCAGCAACAGCCGCTGGCTCCTCAACATTTTGTACCACATATTTCTCCTCCTCCACAGCCTGATCGGCGACCCCAAGATCCTCCGCCTCCGCCGCGCGTTGAACCTAAGACCGAACCTTTGGACCGACAGCCATTGGGGTTAAATACTGACATTGCCATCAAGAAGCTGCCGCAAAGAAAGTCGCACAGCATATTTACACCCATTGAGGAGAACCGATCTATTCTATCACAACATCTGGCCTCTTTTGCAAGTGAATCTCAAGGCGTCAAAACAGAATCGAATCGTTCTCAATCTGTAGATGCCTCATCCCGTGGCGCTCCATCAGCATCCCCACAGCTAAAACGATCAAGCACACAAAACAGCCTGGACAAGGCTCGAGCCGCATCTGTTTCGTCAGGGCCGGAAAGCGCGTTCACCCCTCCTTCAAGATCAAACAGTCTCAAGATTGGTGGTCCTGGCGGTGGCTCGCGACCCAGAGGCCCTCGTCTAACTGTCCAGATTCCCGATGGTGCATCGGAGCCAGGCAGTGCCGGTGGCGAATCAATCTCTCCTCATAACCCAACCATTACACCAACTCAAGCTCCTCGACATAACTCGGTCGTTCTTCCACCACCGTCTCCTTCCGCATCGGCTCTCCTCTCCGCCGGTGCCACAGGCCCGCCGAATCCTTTTGCTCGACCGCCACCCCAGCAAAGCGTCAACGGTGAGACGCCAGTGTCAGCATTGCCTTCACGATTCCTCGGGCATGAGCTTTTACCCAGCCCTGGTAGCTTTTATCAGGATTGGAATTTTCGGGGAAACGATAGCAATACCTTGCCCAGTCCGCTAAACTTTGCAACGCCTGTTGTCGGCACCGGTCCTAGCTTTCTGAGGGACGACAACCATGGCAGCGGGGTCAACAACAATAGCAGCACGAGTAACAACAGCAGTGGTAGCACAGCATCCACCGCAGCTACCACCACAAATACCACAGCGACAAGTGGCACAGTGTCGACTAGTGTCCCACTGAGAATGACGAAACGTAAGAGCCCCGAGTTTGGAGGTGGAGGCCAAAGCGAAAGTCAAGAAGATGCAACTGAAGCCAAGAGACTCAAAGTCGAGTACACATAAGAGACGTGTTGGGATGAATTTCTTTCTGTTTGGGTTTACTACGAGTAGCCCTTGTGAAACTGATACCCCGTTTTTCTATGTACATGCTGATTATTTTTGTTGCTTCCCAACTTGGAATGACAGCTGTGTTTTGTATATCAGGGAAAACAGCCTGGGTTCGTGTCTTTTTTTTTCCTTCCTGACAGAACCGATGGTTGGATTTTCATATTTTTTGTTTATTGGGTGATCTTCATATTTCAGGCTGATATGTAGCCCGTGTCAAGGGGTCATTTGCGGAATTTGGATCAGCATTTGTTGTTTTGTTATTGGCAACGGTATGCAACATTTTGGACGGAGATGCGGACAGTTATCGAGGGTGTTTGAATGTGCGGTAAGGCTGTGGTATGACCTTGTAGATGTGATGTGGTATAGGCGTTTGTTTGCACCATGATTAGACTTAGTGAATGGATTGTTAATGAGTGAGGTCACGAAAACGTGTCGTTGGCGACAATGACATGTTGCGCTCCGTCTAGTTACCTTTTCGCGTGCCACATTATACACCCTGAATTCGGGAGCTAGTCCACGACGGCAGAGGGATGATACCAAGAACATGGCGTCGATTGCATTAGTTTATATTGATCGTTTGCTGAACCACAGTACCCTGTATCATGTACATCCCGTGACATTATCGAAATCGTCCGTAAAATTATTTCATCACTTATACAAAATCCCATGCCGGAACAAAGCAAAAAAAAAAAAAAAAAAAAAAAAAAAAAAAAAAAAAAAAAAAAAAAAAAAAAAAAAAAAAAAAAAAAAAAAACCATGGCACTCGTACCATTGCCCTACGCGTAGTTCACAACGCCCCTGATAATCCACTGGGAGTCATTAGCGTCAAGTTCGACGGGGTGGCATCGCTGAGGCGACACAGGGCATCTTACCAGCTCGCCATTTGAAACCCTACTGGCTACCCGCTCCACGGCGACGCGGTCGGGCATCACGACCCTCTCGCCGTCTTTCTTCTCCTCCCACCAAACCTCCCTCCCGGCTAGGGTTCTTGCCCTTTCCCCCTGCTTCCAGGGACTCTTGGTGACGAGGTGCGCCTCCACGAACCGCAGGAGATTCCTGTTGGCGCGGTCTTGACCCCCGCTGCCGTCGTATGCTTGCGACCCGAGGGCGTGGTAGTCGGCGGGCGACTCCCACGGCTTGCGGGGGAGACTGTCGATTGCCGAGTTGAGGGGTGCGAGGACGGTGGTGTTGGCGGACAGGTCGGCTAGGAGGGAGGACGTGGATTCGCAGAGACGCGTGAACGACGAGAAGGACGATATGGAGCGCAGGGGACCGATGGTGTCGCTCAGTGAGATTTGGGACTGGACCCTGGGTTCGTATCTGTTTTCGTTGCCGTCTTGGTGTTTGGGGGGAGGTGTGCTGGCGGATTTGAACTTGATCGAGGGCGGCGGGGGGTTTTCTTCGCCGTGGGACTCGTCGTCTGGCTGGGCGGGGAGGCGGTGCGCGTCGCCGGGCATGATGGGCTGCTGGACGAGAGGGCTGAAGGAGGCGGCGGCGACGACGACGGAGATGAGGCCGGCGAGGAGGGGTTTCATGCCGCCGGTACCGTGTGGCTGGCGATGCTGGGATGTGAGTTTGACGGCTGTGACTGGAGGAAATGTAATGCCCGCGGTGGTAGGTAATTACGACGGATGTCCAGATGGTTCAGATGGGCGACGAGTACGTCACGAGCAGAGGGTTGTGAGGAGAAGTGGAAATCTACGGATTAGGCAATGCCCGCCGGCTCTTACCCCGCCCACACTGAAAATCCTACCGCTGCTGTTAACGATTTGAACTTGTGGGGACCCTGAGTCGGGACGATGGTGATTCAACTGTTTTGTGGAGGCAGCGAAGGCTCCAACGTTGTATCTTCCGAGGATAAGGGCCAATACGCAGTCTCGACTAATCGGTGCTTTTATTATCACTTTAATCTCACCTAAAAAGAAGTATCAATAATTCGATTACAGGGTCCTGCCGGGATTTCTAGGGTCAGAGAGATACCTTACTGGAGCCTTCGCTGCCTCGAGGGGAGGAACACTAAAGGGTGACCCTTGAAAGATGCATGCGATATTGATGTGGATTTACTGGGGGCGCATGGCGATGGTCCTTTTTTGCTTGGAGGCGCAAGGGAATCTGTGGCGGCTGGTTGGTGGAAATGGAATCAACCGGCGGGTATTGAAGCCCGGTAACTGAGACGATTGAGACGATGTCGATGCCGCAATCGGACCTCGAAGGGCTTGAATTGTTGTTTGTTGGGATGCGAGTTGGAAAAATGATGTAGGACGAAGTTGATTTCTCAAAGAACTAAAATTCGAGGTCATAGGTGAACAAAGGGTGGCATTGTAGATACATGTCAAGAATTCGGTTGTTTATTATTTCCCCAGACCCAGAGTCCAGACTAAGCTATATTGAATCGGGTCCCCGGACTCTACTCTCCGCGGGGAAAATGTGTTGCTTGCCAGCACTTTTGTGAATCACGAGAGCCGTCTGGGGTTGTGGCAAATAGTTATGAAATACAGACACGGGGTCTTTCAAACATGTGAAAGTGGTGGTGGCGTGTCTCGCTGCGGACTGTTGTACATAGCTCTTCCAGGCTACCAATGGCCAATGGACAAACCGTTATTCTGGTCATTCGCTGACTTGATTGAGATGCCAATTGGCCAGCGTGGTGGAGATACTTGGCTAAGACGTGGAGACCCAGGTACCAAGGCCTTTTGGAGTCGGGGTGGAATTCACATGTCAGCCCAGCATTTTCGTTCAAGCATGTGCGCTTACGGACGCAACGACATGCTGCAGTGAAATAATATCCGACAGTTGGAACCAATGCAGCCAGTGGTTGGAACGGTTTGTAAATAGAGGAGAAGGAATGAGAATACTGGAACCCGTGACACGACCCACCGACTTCGTTCGTTAGGGTGGGCAGCTTGGACTCGGTGTAGGAGTGTGTGCGGATGAAACCTATAGCCATCGACTAGACTCAAGGCGTGGAACTGACTCTTTGACGGCATAGAAAGTCGCTGAATCGATCGCGGGAAATTATGTTTGTCAATCGTTCGAACAATTGAGAGAGCTCTGCCGGGTCGTTGTGATCGGGGTCGGGGTGCCATGATGGGTTCCGACGTCAGACGTCGTTACGGAGCTGATCGGAATGAGTGGTCCAACTGGGGTGTCCGTTCCCGTCGGCTGCTTCAAGGCGACGACGAAGCGACGACCTAGCCAACACTGGGGACGACTCCACAAGGTGAGCGAGTCGGTGCTTGCGATGCGGAGAGGGTTGGAGAAGCCCGGGCACAGAAGCCATTGGCAATGAGATTTGTGTTTCCAGTTGAGTAGTGGTGACTCGAGGACGAAAAGCCGGGGTGATTTTGCCTTCTGACATGCGTGCATTTGTGCATCCTTTGACACAGCATCTCCGGTTGCTCCTTCCCTCTCTCATGTCAGAGGGAGACAAAGGGCAGGTACACAGATTCACGCCGGCCGACTCGTAGTGGGGCCACGCTGCCGTTTAGGCCACTCACAGAGCTTGCATATGGGTACTGGTACTGCTCGCCCGCACTTCTGCTCCACGGCAACTGTCGCCGCTCACCTCCTCTAGGGTGTGGCAGGGTCCCCCATTCCCAGCAAGCACGGCCCATGGCTCCTGCCCCAGAAAGCCAGAACAGCCAACTTCGACCTCGGCTACTTCTGGAGTGGGCTGCTTCAACTGTCCTCGGCGCAAAGCCTCCCATTCCAACACGCCCCCCGAAACTAGGGAACTTCTTAAAACTCCCATCACCGAGATCCCCTTCCTGACCTTTCATTTCTTCCTCCCCATCACCTCTGTCCTGCCACCCTCCGATCCTCTCCCTATTTCCGCTGCATATCCTTGCTCTCCCATTCTTCGAGCGCAAACCGCAGCGTCGTTTCTTTCCCTTTCCAAATATACCCTCACATACTCAGCATCATGGCTCCTCATGTGATTGTCGTCGGTGGTGGTCGTAAGTTCTGCAGATTGATGTTTCATGTGCGATTGCAACATTGGCGCCGTCATTTGTTTCGCCTGGCTATGGTTTTGCGCGATGGGCTTGACATTGAAGCTCGGCATGTTTGACGACATGTGGCGACAACGGCGGGAATGTCCGCAAAATCAAACGCTGGCTAGCGAAGCTGGCTGCCAGTGTCACTCGTCACCCTGTATTACGGGAAGCTAACCATTTGTTCTCGTATAGTGTCTGGCCTGAGCGCTGCTCATACTATCTACCTGGCAGGTGGCAACGTCGTTGTCTTGGATAAGCAAGGTAAGTGGAAGCGCGATTCTCGATATTTCGCCCGGGCCATCCGGGATGATGGAAACATGCGAAATCTGGCATTATGGTCCCATGGCACATCCTAGCGATTTCCATTCACTGACCAACATGTGCCTCTCGTACAGGTTTCTTCGGAGGAAACTCCACCAAAGCCACTTCCGGTATCAACGGTGCCTTGACAAGAACACAGGTCGAGCACGGCATCCCCGACAGTGTCAAGCAGTTCTACGACGATACCCTCAAGTCAGCCCGTGACAAGGCTCGCCCCGATCTCATCAAGGTCCTTACCTACAAGTCTGCTGCTGCTGTTGAGTGGCTCCAGGACGTGTTTGACCTCGACCTCACTCTCGTCTCCCGTCTCGGGTAAGTTTTATACATTTTGACGACCCCTCCCCAATAGTTTCGGCCTTTCAACTGTCTACGGGCGGATTTTTGCCGGAGACTGAGGTGAAGTTCTATGGATAATGAAGCTAACGTCTTCCAGTGGCCACTCGCAGCCCCGAACCCACCGTGGTCACGATGCCAAGTTCCCTGGTATGGCCATCACCTACGCTCTCATGCAGCGTATCGAAGAGCTTTCCGAGACCGAGCCTCACCGAGTCACGATCATCAAGAAGGCTCGCGTCACCAGTCTGAACAAGGATGGCAACACCGTCACTGGTGTTACTTACGAGGCCGACGGCCAGTCTGCCTCTCTCGACGGCCCTGTTGTTCTGGCCACTGGTGGCTATGCCGCCGACTTTGGGGAGACTTCTCTGCTCCAGAAGCACCGCCCCGATACCATGGGACTTGCCACCACCAACGGCACCCACGCCACTGGCGACGGCCAGAAGATGGTCATGGCCATTGGCGGCAACGGCATCGACATGGACAAGGTCCAGGTCCACCCCACTGGCCTGGTCGACCCCAAGGACCCTGGATCCAAGTGGAAGTTCCTGGCTGCCGAGGCTCTCCGTGGTGAGGGTGGTATCCTTCTCAACGGCGATGGTGACCGATTCTGCGATGAGCTCGGCCACCGCGACTATGTTTCCGGCATGATCTTCAAGGAGAAGGACAAGGGCAAGTACCCCGTCCGTCTTATCCTCAACTCCAAGGCCTCCAAGACACTCGACTTCCACACCCGCCATTACTCTGGTCGTGGTCTCATGCGAAAGATGACGGGTCAGGAACTGGCCAAGGAGATTGGCTGCACTCCTGACCATCTCCAGAAGACCTTCCAGACCTACAACTCCATTGCCGAGGGCAAGCAGAAGGACCCTTGGGGCAAGAAGTTCTTCCACAACATGCCCGTAGATATCAACGACGACTTCCACGTTTCCCTTATGGAGCCCGTCCTCCACTTCACCATGGGTGGCATTGAGATCAACGACAAGGCCCAGGTCCTCAACCAGGAGAAGAAGCCCTTTGACGGTCTCTTTGCCTGTGGCGAGTTGGCTGGTGGTGTCCACGGCGCCAACCGTCTGGGTGGTTCTTCGCTGCTCGGCTGTGTTGTTTACGGCCGTGTTGCTGGTGACTCGGCTAGCAACTACCTCTTCCAACAGGCCCTTTCTGGCACGGCCGCTGGAGCCGCCGCCCAGCGTCTGGGACAAATTTCTCTTCACCTCGATCCCTCGGCTCCTGGCAAGCTGACCGTCGAGTGGGCCAACGGTGGCTCGGGCTCCGGTGCTGTTGCCGTCCAGCAGCAGGCCGGCGCCGCTCCTGCTGCTGCCGCTCCCGCCGGTGAGTCCGCCGCCAAGGCCAAGCCCGACCCCAAGGCCTTCAAGATCCCCGAGACCGAGTACACTATGGAGGAGGTGGCTAAACATAATAAGGAGGGCGACCTGTGGGTGGTAGTTAAGGGCGTCGTCATGGACCTCAGCAACTGGCTCGACGAGCACCCCGGCGGTCCTCAGGCCATCAAGAACTTCATGGGGCGTGATGCCACCGAGGAGTTTGAGATGTTGCACGACGACGAAGTCATCCCCAAGTACGCCCCCGAGCAGGTCATTGGCCGTGTCAAGGGCCAGGAGCCAACTCTCGAGTTCTAAGCGATGTTGGTGAAAGCAGTGATTCGGGTAAGGATTCAGCCTGGGAGGGCTTGTGTACTAATGACGAACAATGGGGAGCACAGAGTCGAGAGGCGTTTTCATTTGTTTTGTCCTTGGCTAAAAGAACATGGGGTTTATATGCACATAGAACATGAACAGATGGGGAAGCTGGTCAAGGTGACGTGTGATGAGCAAGAGAAGAGCAACAAGAGACTGAGGTTTAGGAGGCAAGAGCTGAGAGTA